TTTTGAAGGTATCTTTCATTATTATTTCAGGCTAGTTTGTACATTCTTTCCTTATGCATTAATTTGCTTTTTAATTAGATAACCTGCAGCTTCACTGAGAAACAGATTACAACCACATTTCCAAGATATGGTCAGATTTTTATTATGACACCTTAAAATTCTGGAAGTTTGGAATGTTTTAAGTTCCTACAAAATTACATGTTCTGACAAAATGCATTGTCAGATGCATCCAAACAGGAACAGTCAAGTTGGGTTACTATAGCAGCAATTCATCGTCTTAAGTTTTCTGTTTTCTGTTTTTTTTTTTTTTTTTTTAAGGATGAGAATAAAAAAGCTCAGTTACCTTTGAACTTCTCCTTCATTTTCTTTTCCTGAGCCAGTTTACCACTCTCCAATTCCATAGGGATTGATTGACTTGGGAAATAGAAGACATTTTGCCAATAATTCTGCAAGGAATGCAGCATACGAAATAATCACACACTTGAAATTTTTAAATAGGAAATATGAGAAACTTAGATAATCCATTTCTGTGGGATGTATCTGTCACAAACCATATTTGACAAAATTGCTGTCACTCTGCTTGGAAAACTCACTGTTAGTGACCTGCAGTGAGTTGGTAAAGATTAAATGCAATGACTTTTTCTGGCAAAAAGAGCTCTTATACCATCCTCCTCAGTCCCATTCCCACCTCCAGTATCCACAAGCATCATGTGTTTCCTGTCTGCCCTTCGGTCTGGGAAACAAATGGCATACAGGCATTTTGCTGCACCAAAATAAAATAGAGCTACAAGAAAGAGGTCAGTGATCTCTGGGCAAAACTATGAGTACCGAGACTGGTTTACTTAGGTAGAACTACAGGACTGCGCCTGCATGACCTGGACTATTTTTTTTGGATGAGAATAACTTTACAATTACAAAAATATCTTGTGATTTGTGCCCCAGCCTGACTACAGAAACTTTGGTAAACACTATTCTAGACCTTCTATTTAACTGAGTATGCATTTTAATTCTTTGGAATGAAAGATTTATTGCAAGCAAGTACTAAACATCTTTTGACCTAAGTCTTTGTGTCCTGACAAGTAGCGTGAAGATATTTCCCCAAATATTATTTATTTTATTCTGATATACTACTGGCACAAAAGCAACAGAGCTAAGGAACGGCTGCCTGGGAAACTTCTACTGTGACTGAACTCTGAAAAGCAAGTTGGAAACTTCTTTAAACTTGTGTAAGCTATTATGTTGCAACAGAAATTGTCTGGAAAGCTGGAGACCATTAGCAACCTTTTATAGTACAAAGAAGGGAATTGAGGAGGAAGTCCAAATCCACACATTGGATTTGAAAACTTTTTTTAAATCTGCAAATGCCAGCTGAACAATCAAAACTCAGACCTAGTTTTTTTTTTTTTTTTTTTTTAATTAGGTAACTGTATTTACGATAGTCCTAAGTAGAGAATTTGGGGAAGGTTGGTGAAACTTAATGCTTAAAGATTTACCTCAAACTCAGTATTTTCTCTGTAAGATTCCTTCCCGCTTCCCTGAGGCACTGGGTACATCCTGCAGGTACCCAGCCACAAGGACAGACAGAGGCAAGCCTGACACAGTAGTAATTCCTCTAGACAGCATATATCGTATTGTCTTGGGGGCTAGTATGTAATATAGTGGTGCATGTGAAGAAACTTCGAGACATCATCTTTTAAGATGTGTTTCCTGTCACCTTCTTTTTCTTTAGTGTAGGAGAGACTATTTTGGTTGCTTTTTACAGAACAAACTTGGGGCTCATAAAGCCCAAAATAGCCCCTACTACAAACTGTAGTATAGTTGCATTCAAGATAATGTGTTCCTATTTATGTATGTCTCTCTCTCTTTCCTAGTTGCTGAAGAAATAGCATTTTATCGTAGTTCCTAGCATAGCTTGTACTTCACCTTAATGTCTATACCAGACATTCTAGTCATCTTTAGGTATTTTAGCTTGTAAGATGAATCCTACTTGTTAGGCCAAGGTGTATCACTGCTGTGTACAGCAGGGTTTGCATTGTGTGGCACTCAATGTCAAGCCGAAAAATAATCAGCACTGCAACCAAGAAGTAACCTTTCACAGCTGTTGATTTGCACTTAGTGCAGAAACTCTTTGTCCTGAGCTGTCACATGAACCGTGATCCAAGTTAAGCTTTTAATCGCATTCTTCTCATTACGTGCCCCTCGGCACCAGCCGAAGGGAAGAGCTGAGTCTGCTGTACTGGAAATACACGAGCCAAGCAGTTTGCTGTCATTCCTGTCATTTATAAAGTACTGTACAGATGTTTATTTTAATGATACTCTGTGATACAGTCCTGTCAGGCCTGGTGGAAATGTAGCATTGCATTATCAACCTTTTCTCACTTACATGAAGGAGAAGAATGTTGTATTAAAGCAATACTGCAAAAAGGACAGTGGCTTATTACAGCATGCGGGGTTACCCAAACCTTTGTATGAGGAGCAAGCACACCAGTCCTGTAACAGAGAAGTATGTGAATGTTCCTCCTGGAAAAGTGCAGAGAGATCAATTCCCTGCTGCTTCTTAAAACAGCACAGGGCTGAAGCTAGGTGTATGTGTTGTGCGTAGGATCCAGTATTCAAAATACTTTTATGCAACGATTCCCTGTACCTACCCTGATATGCTGAGAAAGTAAAGTCTCTGCATGAAAGGTTTTGCATGGGCTGTATGCACTGGCCCAAGGGGTAGTATTTCTAGAAACTTTGAAGGGGGAAAACAAAACCAAACAAAATCCTGTTCTCAAATCTCTTCACAAACAGCAAAAACCCCTTCTGGAATAGGACCCAGTAACTATCATGTCAAAAAGGCTGCCACACCAGCAGTGTGTGATGAGGGAACAGAAGTGCTGCGAGTTTCCAGAACTTGTGCTGCACAGGTCATTTTTATGCCATTCAAGGTAGTTTGCTTCTCTGGTGGTGCTCTTTCTTTTAATTAAAAAAAAAAAAAAAACTTCACACAACAATCTCTTGATTGTTTGAAGCATCACTTATGTCCATCTCCTCTGTAGACTGCAGCAATATCAGCTACTGGGTCTAGTTTAATGAGAACTGTGTCACCCTCCGCAGGCCTCTGCCTCTCTGAGCTTGTGGGGAATGAAAGGAGGAAGCAGAACAGCAGGGGCCGGGGGAGCAGCAAGTGCTGCTTTAAGGGCCTCAGCTTTCCTTCCACAGTCTCTCCTGCTCTTAAGTGCTGTTATGAGGCTCCCCTCTATGCAAGGCTTATGCATGCAGCTAAGTGCACAGCATCAGCTAAAATGCAGAGTTTTCTGCAGGTTACACCTCCCTCTCTGTAAAATCGGAGTAAAACAAACCTCACAAACCCTGCCAACTTGTACAGTATTCCTATCCCATGCAAAGAATTATCTATCATATAAAGATGAGAAAAGTAAATGTTGTAAAAATCAATAGATTTGTTTCATGAACACAAACATTGCTCTAAGACATAGATAAGACTTTAAGATCGAAGTCCAATTATTGGCGCCTACTAAAAGATACATTTCTATTTTCTCTACAGTTGTGGCATGTTTTTTGGCCAATAGCAGTAGCAGCTACCAGCATTAATTGCAGCAGTTCTGCTCTGGGCCAGACCCTTGAGTAATCCAAGGAGCTGGAGCACCGGTCTGGGAATCCCTACCCAAAGTGAGGCATCTCTGCAGGTCGCCAAGACTTTCCACGGGAGTGCGAAACCGTGTGCAAGTGCGGAGCAAGCGCTCAGGGGAGCAGGCAGCTGAGCAGCAGCTTATGCCTCTTCAAAATCCTTTATCACTTCTGCGATGAGGGACTTCTTGTATTTTCATGCTTACAGACGGTAGTGGCCCTCATAATCTATTTATATAGACTACACTACTGTCACAAGAGTATGTTTCCTAAATATATTTTTAAATCCAGTTCAGGAATTAGTATTGTTCTTCATAAATAAATAAAGAGAAAGTTATTTCCCAATCACCTTTATTTCACTAGTATAAATTACCATCATAAATACAGATATCAACAGTATAAAAATTAGAATATATTATAAAATAAATATTAAAAGTCATAGTAAAAAGTACCTTTAAATCCCCTCACCAAGACTGTCTGAATTTATACCAACACAAACTATTGATTCACCAACCATTTAACTAAAAAAATCAGTGTTCAATGTGCAGTAAATACTGCTACCTACTCAGTGTTTGCATGAAGTGAGTTATCACTGACTCAAAAACTGCAGTTTATATCCTGACACTAACCTGGAATTATCAGATTACCTTATTAGTGCAATTCTAGGTTTAGTGTAATGTGGATGTGCCTTTTCCAGGTGGAGAGCAGCACCTACTTCAGGAGTGTTTCACAGAAGTTAGCAATACAGTGATTTCTGTTGGTTTACTTTTGATTTCCTATATCCAAAGATAAATACAACAAGCCAATTTTATCCAAGCAGTGCAGAATAGTGGTAACTTTTTCAAATCTGAACTAACAGATAATTTGTCCAGTTAATAATGTTATAAAAAAGCAGATAAATACAGGTTTTGTTTCATAGAAACAAACAAACAAAAATGTCCTTTGCACTAGGTAAAGGACAAGAGTGTTCAGAAAAAAATAGTGTTTTTCCCCTCACAAGTACCCGAAGTTTTCTGGCTCATTAAGGCCATGCTTTCAGAATGGCCATACCTGGTCAAATCAAAGGTCCTTTCAGGATCCTCTGTCAAAATACAGGCTGCTTTTGGAAGAGTATTTCAACAGGCATATTATAGTATCTTCCTGGAATACTCTTCCAGCTTCCAGTTATTCGTGTCACAAGGACTTCCTAACAGCTTTGTGCCTATAATGTATTTTTCATCTGTAACTGTCTCAAGAAGTTTTGAATCCACAGGTATTCTGGAAGTTTTGGCTTCACAATATCCTGTAGCAGAGAGCTTAAAAGGTTCCACCCCATTTCCCTTTTTTTCTTTCCTGACTGGAACTGCCACAACATCCAGTGTAGTTATTCACTAAACTCCATTAAGCGGTTGCTTTTCTCTTGCAAGTTTTGCTCTCTTGCGTTTACACAGGATCACTGGCAGGACAATGGCGAGAGTGAGGACTGCAATGGCCACCACTGCTATGATAATGAAGACTTCAGTTCCGTATTCTGCAGGGGAAGAAAAGAATCCAAGACTCAGGAATCTGATGACAGAGCAGTTTTCTTTAAAGTTTGGCTGGATCCCCAAGGGGTGGCCGAGAGGGGCTGAATACCCCTTATTTGGTGCCTCCAGCCCCTATAGCCCAATCTACTGACCTCCGAAATGCATGCTGTGTTTTACAGTACCACAGGAGCGATGGCCGCAGCATGAACATAACTCATTTTACTGTGAATTTGTTAAACTGTATTAAAGGTTGATTTCAACCAGTTCACACCAGGTTTTATTTGAGTATAGTTAGTCTATACTAACTATAATACTATGCTATTGCCACAGCAGTAAGACCTGAAGGAAACAATGTGAAAACCAGAGACGCTGCAGGCTAGTGATTAAATCTGTAACCTCAGGGATCCATCATTAACTCAGCCAATTTAAAACCAAATCAAAACTCTTTTAGCAAAACCTTACAAACAATTCCAATTAGCTAAGAAATGAGAGTTCTTCCCATTAGTTTCCTTGTCCAGTTTATATCCTCTATAGCAAAAAAGTTGTTGTTTTTTTTTAACTTAGGCAGCACACTTAGAAAATGTATAAAAATATACTCAGAACTGAGGTGTCCTTTTGTTAAAATGCTGAAGATATTGTGACAGACTTCATCAGATACATACCATCTAAAATATTTCTTCCTACACTGGTGCAAAGCACCATGCTTTCTTGACCAGCACGGTTTTCTCTGCGGGAGGGAATGATTCCCTGTATGTAGAAGCAATAGTTCTTTGTGTTTTCAACATTTATTTCAAATTTATCACTTCTTGTTATAGCATCTTTCTGTAAGAAGAAAAAAATACACTTCAAGAAGGTGTTCTCTGCAAAAGCTTTAGCTCTTAAGGAAGCATCAAAATTGTCCAGTTATAGCATAGCTACAAAATATGTGAAAAGCCAAATAAGACCTTACCTTTCCAGAACTTTGGTCTTTCCAGTAATAGAGTTTATATTCCAAGTCATTTTTGAAAATATCTCGAATACTTTGAAAGCTTCCATTGGGAAACATATATGGTGTAAGTGGATCTTTGAACACAATACTCATTTTGGAATCTTTTTGTGTATAATTCTGGATCTCTGGTTTCCCAAGAATAGCTAAACAAGAAAGTTCATGAATTAAAGAAATGTCATCATCCTTTCTATACAATATGCTTTTTCTGTTCTTCCCTCTACTCTTCTTCCTTCCTCTATTATAAATTTTATAGAGCCAAAATAATACAGGAGAATACAAGATTATTATCAAGTATTTTTATCGACTATACTGTGCTAAGATATATACTATATAATCTAGTATATAGTGCTAATTTGTGAGAGACAAATGCTAACTAAGATTTTATGCAGTTCCCTGCCATGGGAAAAGCATCATACCTGAAGATCTTATTCTCAGATAGTAGTAGTGCTACTATAAGAACCTATAGAAAAGAATCTTTTGGTCCAACCCAAAGTTTATTTAAATCAGTGGAAATCTTGAGCTCAAGTTTACAATAAGATTGAATTGGCAATCCGACTTACTCTGATTATAAGGTGTGAATTTTTCAGAGGTTGCATAAGGTGGTTGTTCAAAGTTATCCATCCTGGCGGATGTTACAGACAGTATGTGCGCTGTATAGGTCTCTTTTACATTCCTCAGCACATCAGTAACATCACACTCTGTTTCTGTTGTCAGAATGCATTTTCTTTGGGTGTTGGATGTGTGTCTGAAAAGAGTAAGAACTGTCAATGCTTTCTAATTACATTTTAAAAAATATTTATGTAGGTTAAAATAATACTTCCTGAAATACATAGCTGCTAATAATTGCTTCCTAATAAATAGAAATCGAAAAGTAGATTTGGCGTTACTAGTTCAATTCTCTTCTCTGTCTTTGCCAGTGAACTAAGAACAAAAAAACCCACTAGTGAACTCAGAAAAACGAGAGTGTTGAAAGTTTGAAGTTCATAAGTTTTCCTCAGAGTTATGATCTAGCAAGCAGGAGAGTTTTATTTAAGAGTTGCTTTAACTCTTTTCCCACCAGATTTTATATAATGCCAAAAATCTTTGAGTTTCTATGGCCTGCAGACTATCGAGCTTTGAGAAAATGCAGAAGAGATTTGATGTTTGTAACAAAACCAACATACCCTTTTAAATGTACGTATGGATCAGAAAGCAAAAACTGAAATGTATTCAAGACAATCCTGTTTAAAGAAATTTCTTGATATCAGAATGATACCTGATTCTGTAGTGAATTTTGGGCTAACAGACTTTTTTTTTTTTTTCTAAAGAAATTTCTTAATATCAGAATGATACCTGATTCTGTACTGAATTTTGGGCAAACAGACTTTTTTTTTTTCTTTTTCTTTTTGCAAGCAACACCAGTTCAGCTGGCAGACTCCTGGATAAGGTTCTGTGTCCAGGATACAACCTTTTGCAAGATGAAGCTCTTAAATTATGCTGTGCCATTCTGATCAAGCATGAGCTTTAAAGTCTATTCATTTAATCACTCTTTTCAGTTTGAAGGATAAATGAGGACATTGGATCATTACACAGGTATGTAATTTATTAGTCATAAGAGAACTCTCCTTTCCAGATAACTTTTATATACGGAAGTGCCTACAGCACTATGTATTCATACAGGAGAGTTGATGCAGTTTGCCTTTGAGGCATGTTTAAGAATTGTCTGTGATATAATAGGAGGGCTAAGTACCATGCAGATATATTATTGAACTTTACCAACGTTTAAAAAAAAAAATCTTAAGCACATCATATACGCTGACTGTTTTCCATGGTGGACAGTATTTCACAACCTCTCTAATCGTGCCATGTAATGCTTTGATAGAGCTAGACAAACAAGGTCATTTTTAGTATTACCCAGCATTTCACTGGTGGTGATTCACTGATTAGTGTGACATTCAGACTTATTATCAGACACCTCCCAAGATTAGAGAAAGAACAAAGACTCAGTCCAGACACCTTGAAAGACAAAAAGGTGACATTCTATCAAGTGTATTTCGCATGGTCTGAGAGCCAACTGCTTCAATGTAGCCTGGCCCAGGACGCCAGTCCAGTCGGCCTGCACGGAACCCCAGAACTGAAATACTGATCTAAAGCGGAACCTACTCATTTCTGAAGTGGAAGAAATCAGACTCTCTGATCAGATATTCCTACAGTTGGGCATGATGAAGGTATAACTATAGGGTACGCAACTCTCCTAAAATCCTCATTTTGGGGCTATTTCCTGTTATGCTCGGTCTCAAAAATATTCACACAGACTCCCAGAATGGTTAAGGTTGGAAGGGACCTCTAGAGATCATTTAGTCCAACCCCCCTGCTCCAGCACGGTCACCTGGAGCACATGGCTCAGGGTGGCATCCAGGCGGGGTTTGAAGATCTCCAGAGAAGGAGACTCCACAGCCTCTCTGGGCAGCCTGTGCCAGGGCTCTGTCACCCTCACAGGGAAGAAGTTCCTCCTCACATGGAGGTGGAACTTCCTGTGTTTCAACTTGTACCCATTACCCCTTGTCCTGTCACTGGCCACCATCGAGAAGAGTTGGACCCCATCCTCCCTACATTCATCCCTAAGGTACTTGTGCATGTTGATCAGATCTCCTCTCAATCTTCTCTTCTCTAGGCTAATACATACTTTATCTTTAATTGTCATTCACGTACACACCTTTGGTGTTATCTACTTACCCAAGTATTTCTACCGTGTAGAAGTAATCAGATGGTTTGGGTTGCCACCGTAGTATTGTTTTAAAATTGATCGAAGACCAAGTTATATTAACTGCTGTTGGTAGTCTTGGACTGCCTTTAAATACAGAAAAGAGTGCCATCAGTCACACTGCATATACCTCCTGGCTCCCTGCATTCCTTCTTTAGTTAAAATAAGTGGTTGTTGCTACTTGAAGATCTGAGGGAAAAGGCTCGGTCCTGCCCTCCAGGCTTATGCTTGCCTTATTAAAGGAATGTGTCCTGGCAGAAGTGAGAAACATGAAGTGGGTTTGGAGTTCTGCCTAGTGCTTCCTTCCACTTTCTCTGATACAAGACCTGTTAAGAGGTAGCTTCCAGATAAATTCTTAAAAACGAACAAACACACACCCCTAAAAACAAACAAAAAAATCCCCCCAAAAACAGTTGCCCTACGTGCTAATATTGGAGGAGGTCTTCCCCAAGGCGACCTGCAGCCTGAGAAATGGGAAGCAAGGCAGCGGCCCTGCGGTGCACTCTGGTGACACCCGCTCTGGGAACTGCCGGGGACAAACCACATGGGAAACACCGTGAAGGGCGGCAGCTTCTGGACAGAAGGGACTTCCCTTGGTGATATCCTAATTATTTTCCATATAGAGCCTCCTCTGAACCTTCTGCAAGATGGGGACAACGGGGAGCAGCAGAGCAATATGCTCCCTATTGCTGCAGACAGCAACAGAGCCACGAAATGCGGCTCCCCAACGCCCCCCATCTCGGAACACGAAGGATCCCGTCAGGAAAGCGGCCAGACACCCCCGGCCCTCGCGCTCCAGCACCGGGCGGGG